AATTTCCAGCGATATCGTCGACTTGATTGCACAGATACTATTTAAACTGAACTGAGCTGGATGATGACATCACTGAATTCAATGATGAACTGCCTTTAACTGAAAATTGAGTGTTTACTATTGTCATTTTGCATTATTGACACACTATTTTCCTATTTAATACTGTTACTGTAAAGCTGCTTTGACACAATCTGTATTGTTAAAAGCGCTAAAAAAAGAAGAAAAAAAACTATTTATAAATATAAATTTAAATGCCTTACTTTCCAGATGAAATAATAAGTAATAATAAATAATAATATTTCCTGAAAATAGGGATTTAAAAGGCTTTAATTATTCAATAAGAATTTGTATTATTTGATCTGTAAATGAAGGCCTTTAAAATATATATTTTTATTAATATTAATTAAAAGGTCTTAATGTACATATCAAATAATGTAAATGCTTTATTAAAATATACAAATCATATTCCACTGAAAGAATATTCCTTTAAAGTGGAGCTTTTAAAGGCCAGTCTGGGTTTGGGAGACCTGTACTGATATTGCAGACTATACTGTAGGCTACGAGAGTGACAAATCACATGATTGTAAAGCTCTGGATCCTAAATTGCCTGTCATCCAACATTTGAATAAATCATAAAAGATACAGCTTGCTGACAGTATCCTTTCTGCAGATATGTAATGGATTAAGATGTTATCGAGTGAAAAGTTATCAATGGAAATTGCCCCGTGGCTCAGAATTTGAAGTTGAGACAGTGGACAGCTCTGCAGTTGGATTCATTTATCCTGTCCTCATGACTGCTATAGCATTTAATTGGATTACAGTCAAAGCCTGAAGCGCAGCAACTGGAGGCTCTTTATTAAGCTTCATGACACAGCTAATCTATGACCTCAATGTCCGTGTGGGGGGATGACACTTTTTATTTTAGGACGTAGGCGTCTTTGGGCCCTGATTGGGTCCAGAAGTCATCCAAGGCTTTTATATTATTACTCTATATTTACATACAATATAGACATTCCATAAAATTACCTCATATTGTGAGGATTTCATGTAGGGTGGTGTTCAAAGTGTAAACTGTATTACCTCATATTATCACAGGTTATCACAGAACAAGAGAAGAGTGGCGTTCAAAGTGTAAAATGTATTGTGCTAAACCAGGCCATTTATATTGTCTGTCATGTAGGTGACCAATTCAAGAAAAACCCATCAGGTCATTAAGCTCCGATGACCGGGTAACCGGATGACTGGGGCTTTCCCGAGATGACATCACGCAGTGAAAGCCTATTGGATGCAAGCAGTGAGCATACACTCACATGATACTGTTAAAGGGTTAGTTCACCCAAAAATTCTGCCATTAATTACTCACCCTCATGGCGTTCTAAACCCGTAAGACCTTCGTTCATCTTCGGAACACAAATTCATATATTTCTGATGAAATCTGAGAGCTCTCTGATCCTCCATAGACAGCAAGGATACTATCACGATCA